TGAGCAAGTGAGGCAAGGTAGGCACAAGGCCCAGCTGAGTACAGAAGCGCTGATGGTCACAAGGCGCAAGCGCCTTGGTGAAGATATCAGCAGTGTTGGCCTCAGAGGCCACGTACGCAAGACGCAGCTGACCACGCTGCTGCAGCTCACGAGCAAGAAAGTAGCGGAGAGCAATGTGCTTCGTTCTGTGCTCCAGTCGCTGCTCCCGACACAAGGCCAGCATGGCCTTGTTGTCTACGTACAGCACTGGAGGAGAACGAGGCAACTCTCCGAGGTCAGTCAGCAGGTAGGTGAGCCAGCGAAGCTCCTGTGCAGCCATGGCTCCTGCGTAGATCTCAGCCTCACAACTGGAGCCGAGAACAGAAGACGAGCGAGTAGCCCGCCACGAAACAGAGCCGGAACCAAGGCTGAAGGTGTAACCCTGTGACGACCGCTGCGTAGCCTGGTCGTCAGCCCAAGAAGCGTCTGCGTGCCCAGTAAGGACCACTGGACTCTGCCCTCCAAGCACCAGCCCCATGCCCGACGTACTGCACAAGTAGCGCAAAACCCTCTTCGCTGCAGCCATGTGCTCCGGTCTGTGTCTCCCAGGAGCAACATAGCGTACAAGAATGCTAAGAGGGTATGCAAGGTCAGGTCGTGTGCAGGTCATCAGGTACATGAGGCAGCCAACAAGCTCTGGGTACGGGCCACTCGACTCTACGGACTCATCCGAAGGCAGAGCTGAGAGCGAGTGGCGAGTAGGCAGAGGAGTGGCCTGAGGCGAGGAGTACGTGAAGCCGAAGCGCTGAAGGACCTGCTGCACCATGTGTGACTGAGTCAGGGTAATGGTGCGGCGTGCTCTGTCCCGAGTGATCTGCAAGCCAAGGTAGCTGCGCAGTTCACCCAGGTCAGTGCACGTGTGTCTCTTCTGCAGCTCGGACTTCACGTGGGCTAGTCCTGCAGTGTCAGCTGTGGCAAAGACCAAGTCGTCGACGTACACGAGGATGTAGAACGGCGGCAAAGAAGTGTCGGTGCGCAGAAACAGCGACGGGTCGGCAGTAGAGGGAGCAAACCCAAGAGCCGCAAGTGTAGTCCTCAGTGTGTCGTGCCACTCACGCGGTGCCTGGCGGGGACCGTAGACTGGCCGCCGTAGGCTCCACTGGGTGCCAGGAGGAAAAGACCTAGTGAAGCCAGGTGGGCGACGCAGCCAGATCTCCTCGTGCAGGCTGCCCTGCAAGAAAGCAGTGCTGAAGTCAAGAGAGTGTAGCTCGTAGTCACGGTGAGCAGCTACGTGCAGCAGTACCCGAAGAGTGGTCATCTTCGGGGTGGGAGAGAAGGTCTGAAAGTAGTCAACTCCCTGCCGCTGACTGAAGCCACGAGCCACGTAACGCGCCTTGAAGACAGGCGGAGAACCCGGCGGCCGCGAAGGGCAGTGCGACGGGCCCGCTAAGGGCGGCGCTAGGGGGCCGTGAGGGGCCTAGTGAGGGCGCGACGGTGATGAGAGCACACCGGGCGCGACTCGGGCCGGAGCGAAGCGCGCTCCGGGCAGGAAAAAAAAACTCGTAGTGGTGGGCCCTAGGAATCGTTCCCGTTAGGGAACCTGCTCTGATACCATGAGAAGAAACAAGGAAAAAATGGATGAACTATGAATGAATTGGGTACAAGTACTAACCCTAATTGGGTTGTACCCCTTATGGACTACCCCACTATAGCCTACACAATATGCATGAGCTATAATGTTCTGACAAAAACTACCAAATATGAGTTAGCATTTGGAATTCTCTTGTACATTTTTTTTATCCTTATGTTGTAGCGTTTTCTTGACAGATGTTGTGTTTGGTATATTGACTCTCGATTATGTTTGGTACATTTCCTTACATTGGGTTTCTGACTCTATTTTGCTTGTAAACGTTGATACAGTTTACTGAAAGCACATTGAAACCCTTGTTGTACGGTGTAGAGGTCGGTTGAAATGTTGTGGTGATGAAATTTGCTCAGAGTTGATAGTGACCAGGTAGTGACTATCAGTGATAGCGCTATGATCATTCGTGATAGATTTGCTGACCGTTCACGATAATCCTATGACCATCTGTGATAACGAGCCCATGTTAATGACCATTTTGTCAGAATGTAGTTTCTCTAGCCTGCAGTGGGGTACTCTCTAGTGAGTATGACCCCTTAGGGTTTCCTATATGTATCCACCTGCTTGCTAGTGAACATCCTCCTTTGCTCATTTCTGTTTCTGCCTGCTAATTTTGACATGGTATCAGAGCAGGTCGACCCTCCTGGGTCGATCCTGTGGGTGGGCCCCACCCGATGCTTCCGCTGCTCTACTGCTGTCGCGCGCCCCGGACGCGCGAGCGCGCGGCGTTTTTCATCCCGCCGTGGGTTTAGGGTTTAAGGGGGGTGCCGTGGAAGTGGAGCTAGGGTTTCAGCAGGGGGTGTGAGAAAGGGGGGTGGGACAGTTGGGGGAGGTTGAGCGGAGGCTGCCGTCTTGTCGTCCGCAGCACCTGTAGTCCGGGGCGCTGTCCTGGTAGCCCAGAGAGCCTGCTGCGACTGTGGCCCGTGGGTCCGTTGCTCCTGCCGCACTTCGTAGCCGCCGAGCCAGTTACTCCAGTAGTCCGGGGCGCTGTCCCGGTAGCCACTGAGCGAGCCGCTCCTGTTGCCCGTGTGTCTGCAGCTTCAGCCGTCGCCTCCTATCTTCTCTCCTCTTACAGTCCCGCCTCCTCCTCCTCACTTGCCCTTTGTGAATGCCTCTAGCTTTGCTTGCACTTGTGAACCTGCTCTATGACTGCTTGCTCTGCTGATTATACCCCACTTTGACTATGGGGGTGTGTCAGAATGTAGTTTCTCTAGCCTGCAGTGGGGTACTCTGTAGTGAGTATGACCCCTTAGGGTTTCCTATATGTATCCACCTGCTTGCTAGTGAACATCCTCCTTTGCTCATTTCTGTTTCTGCCTGCTAATTTTGACACATTTGTATAATAACCCGGGAAAATGGTTACCACAGAGGAAAAAAGGAAAGTATGCAAATGGTAAAAAAAATGGGGCTCTGTAACGCGTACAGTAACTATTACGGTATGTTTTCACGCGTTTGGTAAATCGTTTCACGTATTTGGTAACTCGATAGAGGCGAATGATCATGCGAATGGTAACTAAATGAAACTCTCGCCTGAAATGATACTGACTTAGAGAACTTTGTTTTGTTTGTTAGTAATTACGCACCGTTTTACATTTTTTGAACGATTCTAGCCGTGACTTTGAAAATATCGCGTTTGTTTTATTTCCACGGACTAAATAATTTCGAAGCCGTCTCATATCTCGTTTTAGCTCGCAAAGTGATCAAAAGTTTCCGGAAAGGCGACAATATTATATTTGTTTTTAAAACAAATGTAATTATTGCAACGGTGTAATAATTGTACAGGCAGGAGAAAAATATACCCCTCTAGAATGGCATGCCTTTTCTTAGAAACAAACCCTAAATGCATTGTCGCAAGGTGTTTAGGGTTGATGCTCTCAAGATCGCTTGCCATCCGAAAAGGGTTTATTTGTTTTGCCCCGGTTGTGCGATAGAATTCGGTACAAACAATGTCCCTAACGAGCTCTAACATATTCATTGAATATGTAAAAATGTTTTCAACATAGCTAGTTGTACGTAAATGTCATGATTTTTGGAAAGTGTGTCAGAATTTGGTGTGTCAGGATTCGTCAATTTAATCCGGCGCGAGTGGGGAAAACCAGAATCAGAGTCATCTTGGGCGAGAATTGCATCTAGTTACCATTCGCGTGATCGCTTGCCAGTGTATAGTTACCAAACGCGTGAATCGAGTTATCAACGCGTGAAAATACATTGTAATGGTTACAGTACGCGTTATTGAGCCCCATATATGTTACCATTCGCATATTTTCCCGAGGAAAAATGGGTAATATGAAGAGGCGCGAAAGATCTGACGGGTACCATCGAGCCACGTGGTTGACTGATGACGTCAGCAGGCTCGATGTATTTGACCCAACCTCCGAACTTTTCCACGCGGAATATTATGCTGGTTTGACAAGAGGCTTGGCACGATGATGGCAGCGACATGTACGCTCGGCAGGCTTTTGTTCGGTTTGGCGTGGGAGTCACGTCTGACATTTTTTACGCGCTTGAAAATTCACTGTTAGAGAAGCACACTTGTCATCTTTCTGCTGGTTGCGTGCTTCACAATGTGCTGTAATTGGCGAGTCAGTGATGCGGGTGTCGGATTGAACTGAACGCACAGAGCGCGTACACCAGCGGATGAAATGGCTTCACGAGATTGGCTTGCCAGGAACACGCGGGAAAAGCTGCCTGAGCTGCGCGCGGCTGGCTCGGGATCAGGTATGGATTCGGGAAGCTGGCCAATTGGCACTATGAAATGTAGTCGCCCAAAAAAAACAAAAATATCCATTCTGCAGTTCAATAACACACTCGGTTGCAAATTTCAGTGTGACAGTCTTACTGCAAATGTAGCAAATTCGCGTGGAAAAACGTTTTTTAGGCGACATCATCTCGCAAAGTGGTGAGATTTAGTTTCTCTGTTGCCGCTCTGTAGAATCGCGAGTTAGTGTCTTGTTTTAGGGAAACGAAACGTATTTTTACTGCTCATGCATTTCGTGACACATGTGTCCAGAATCAATTTTGTAATTTCGGCTGTGGTTGGCGAGTGAGGTGGATGTCAGGCTGAACCGAACCCACAGAGCGCACACACCATCCAATGAAATTGCTCGACGAGATAAGCTCGCCAGGAACACGCGGGAAAAGCTGCCTGGGCTGTGACTGGCTCGGGTTTGAAAAGCGGGTGATTCGGCTCGGCACTACGAAGTGGTTGAAATAATATAAACATACATTCTGCATTCCAATTACGCACTCGGCAGACCCATTCTGTCCCCGTACCTCGCCACCCTTCTTGTTGTGCAGGACGTTTCACTCCACCTTCAGTTTCTCTGTCTTACAGATTGGTTTTCGCAATACGTAGAAGCTGTGAGATCAGTGGTACCAGTCAAGCCAGACAGCATTCCAGCGCAAACGGTATGCTTCTGAAAGAGGAGATGGCGAGCGGCGTGGGGGAGCGCGTGGCGGCGTTGGAGGCGAAGCTGAAAGAGCAGGGCGACGCCATGGCTGCCATGCAGCGCGACATGGCCGACATGCGCCGCGCCATGGCGGCGGAGGTGGAGTACACAAAGGGGCGCTTAAATGACGTGGAGGCGGAACTCGCGGCGCTGAAGGACGGCCGCGCAGAGAAGAGCCGCGACGAGCGCGATGAGGGCAGCGCGGGGAAGAGGCGGAAGATGGAGGAGTCGCCGGGGAAGGAGGAGGAGATGGCAGTTGTTGCTGCGGGCACCGAGCCTAAGCTTACTGTCGGGGGTAGTGCGGCCGAAGGAAGGCGGGATGAGGCGGAAAGCGAGAAGACGGCGGAAAGCAAGAAGACGGCGGAAAGCGAGAGCGAAGAGGAGTGGGGGGCGAATGGAGAGGAGGACTTCGACGCGGAGGCTGAGCTGCAGGAACTGTGTAACCGCGTGGTGGCGCTGGAGAAGCGAATGGCGGTGGAGGAACTGAGGAAAGAGGTTGGAGGCAAGACGTGGGAGGTGCGGCCCTTGCTTCCTTGCTCCTGTCCTTCCTTCCTGCTGTCCTTCCTGCTGTCCTTCCTGCTGTCCTTCCTGCTGCCCATGCTTCTCCCCTTGCTGCCCCCCTTCCTGCTGTCTTTTGCTGATTGAATTGTTCAGGTGGTCGTTTATTTTATAATACTGCCTATCTTTTGTCTCTCATGTCATAGCGTGTCTCTGTTCCTGTCCCTGCTCCTGTCCTTGCCGTTTAATGGTCGTTTCTTTTGAAATTCTGCTGTGGCACGGATTGGCGCCTTGCTGATCCCCTTGCTGATCCCCTTGCTGATCCCCTTGCTGCTCCCCTTGCTGATCCCCTTGCTGCTCCCCTTGCTGATCCCCTTGCTGCTCCCCTTGCTGATCCCCTTGCTGCTCCCTCTGCTTCTCCCCATACTGCTCCCGTTGCTGCTCCTTGCTCCTCCCTCCGCCGCTCCCCTTGCTGCTCCCCTGCTGCTCGTGGCTGCAGGCACTGCTGACGCTGTGGATCAAAGTTTCGCCGGGCGAGACTCGCATGGACCTCATCGGCATCTGCCTCACCGACGTTGCTCTCTCTCAACTCGCCTCCTTTCGCTCTCTCACGTCGCTCAACCTTTCGCTCTCTCACGTCACTGCAGAGGGGGTGACACAGCTTTTTTCCCTCACAGCTCTCACATTTCTGAATCTGGAGGGGACAAATGCAAAGGACGCATCTCTTGAAGGTATCAGCAGCCTGAAGCATCTTAACTCACTTTATCTTGGTAACACCAAGATAACCGATGCAGGAATAGCGAAGCTGCAGGGGTTGACTGCACTCGCGACACTGGCCTTAAATGACTGTGAGTCAGTCACCTCTGCGAGCATGGTGCATGTGGGGAAACTTACGTCACTGAGGACTCTCTGGCTGAGTGCCAGTGGAGTGAGGGAGGACGGGCTGAAGCAGCTGACGACTCTCACCTCCCTGAAACTCTTCAGCTTGCCTCCTGGTGTGACCGATTCCAGCATGAAGCACCTGAGGAACCTGACACGCCTGGAGAAGCTGGGGCTGTGGGATGCCAAGGTCTCTGCTGCAGGTGTCAAATGGCTGAACGGGCTTAATAGCCTCAAGGTTATTGGGACGGAAGCTGAAGATGTAGAAGGGCTGATTAGGGACAGCCTTCCTGGAATGATTGTCACGGATAGCTCATTCTGATTTTCCTAAGCCCAATGCCCAGTGTTTGCTACCAATCCCAGCACGTCTGTATCGTTGGTGAAATAGAAATGTGGCATGCTAATGGAGCTGTATCCTTTAACTACTACTGCAACTGCAATGCAATCTACAATGTACACACCGCAGTGCACTTAGACAAATAAGGTCCTGCCTCATTTACTTGCTGGCTTTTGTATTATAAACTTGGGGAACATTTACGCCAATGTTGGTAACAATTTGAGCATATTTTGGGGCTCTTCTCAGCCCAACACCCCCCACCCCTCCATCCCCAGCCCAGCCCCCTTTGCTAAGCTAAGCCGCACATGAGAGCACAGCCAAGTCATCCTCCACGGTGCCCCCCTGGAGGGCGGCAGCGGCGGCGATGGCGTCTGCCTGGGCGGTGGCGGTGGCAGCAGTGGAGGCGCTTAGCAGCGGCAGCACAAAGCCCTGCAGCTCCGCCAGCTCTGCCAGCGCATGTGCCTCCGCCCCCACCACCTGCGCTAGCATGTGGAACTGGGGGAAGGCCAAAAAGGGGAAGAGGAAGGGAATGAATAGACGGAAGCATGCGCCTCCACCCCCACCACCTGTCCTAGCATGTGGAACTGGGGAGGGGAGAGGGGGGTGAAAGGAGAGGGCGTTGGTGGGGTTCATAGTGGGCCCCCACCACCTGCATGTGGAGCTGCAGCAGCAAACTGCGCAGCACGCGAAAGCGGCAGGGAGAAAAGGCAGACACAACTATCAAACACATCATGCTTGAAAGAACACTGCCCTTCAGCACATACCCCCTTTGGGCGTGGCAGCGATGTGCTGGGCTCTGAGGTCGAGCACCATGTGCAGGCACGTGCTGTAGCGCGGGTTTGGTACCAGCCTGGAGGCATGGGGGGTGAGAGGGAAGAGAGTGGTGTCAAGCCGTGAGGGGTGCAGCAGGGAAGGAAGAGGGGTGAGCCTAGTGATGGAAAGATACACCGAGAAGGGTGTGGAGGGTAGGAACGGGAGAGAAAGGATGGGAAGGTGTGACTGTGCCGGAGGGGCTTGGGGGTTACTGCAGTATGGTGGTGTGCCGGCGTACAAGAATGCAGAGTGGTGGAGGCAGTGGACGCGCCGCAGCTTGTTACCGTGCACCACCAGATGCACCGACATGTGCCGCCGCAGCTATGGGGGGCGTCAGTAGGCAGTCCGCCACCATGTGGGGCACGGCCACATGATGACCTGGTCTTGCTGTGCCGCTGCTGCCGTGCTGCTATGCGAGGCACCATGGAGCATGCCCATGTTGTCACTCTGCTGTGGTTGCCACACAAACTTGCCTCCCATCAATCGCCCCATACACGCGCTTGCACTGCTCCCCTAAGCACATGGGAGGGGGGTGGTTGCAGGGATGGGAAGGAGTTGGGAGAGGGGAGTGGGATGCGGTGCTGCTTGCCGTGGTTGCCACATGCACGCCCTTGCGCTGCCCCACTAGGTAGTCTCAGCCTGGCACACATGGCACACATGGCACACATGGCACACATGGCATACATGGCACACATGGCACACATGGCACACATGGCACACATGGCACACATGGCACACATGGCACACATGGCACACATGGCACCCGTGGCACACATGGCCCACATCCCCATGTGTGGTGATGTTGTAGGCAGGGAAGGAAACTGACGGGGGAAGCTGAGGAACAGGAGAGCGTGGATGGGCGGGGAGGGGAGGCGAGGGGAGGGGAGGGGAGGGGAGGGGAGGGGAGGGGAGGGGAGGAGAGGGGAGGGGAGGGGAGTGGAGGGGAGGGGAGAGGAGGGGAGGGGAGAGGAGGGGAGAAAAGAGGAGAGAAAGGTGAAGGATGAAGGGGAGAGAGAGGGCAAGCAGCAGGGACGCACCTGCGCGGTGACGTCCCAACAGCGCAGAATGCTGTCATCACCGGCCGACATGAGATGCACCTTGTCCAACGCAAAGCGCACCGCCCTCACTGCACTGCAGTGCAGCATGCCCACCACCCCAGTGGAGACGGAGGGGACGAGGGGAGGAACGCAGCAGGGGAACCGCGGAAAGGGGAAACGCGGAGGGGAGGGGAATGAGGAATATGGGGTGAGGGGGAGGAGGAGGGGAAAGGGTAAGGCGGAAGAGGACCGAGTAAAAGGGGTGTGGGAGGAGAGGCTGGTTGAGTGAGTGTGTGCAGTGACGAGGTGGAGGAGGGTTAAATGGGCGGCATGGGATGGGAGGGAAGGGGGATGGGCACAATAAGCGGAGGGTGGTGGGATTGCTGATGGGCGCAGAGGGGGGGGAAGGCAGGGAGGAGGGCGAACCAGGATGGAGAAGTTGGAAATGGGGAGGAAAGGCAGAAGGCTGGACAGTGGGAAGCAAGAGAAATTAGAGAATGAAGGTGTGTGCGTGTGTCTTTAGGTGGATGGGTGGCTGCCTGGCTGGTTGGGTTGGTGCATGCTGGGTGGATGGCATGTGCGTGCTGCAGGAAGGCGCGCATGTGTACTCTGTGCGACCGCTGAGTTTGTCTCAGCAGCACTGTGCGGGTCGTGGCGTTGAACACCTGCCCGCGCCCACATGCACAAGGGAAGTCCCGGCGGGGGGAGAGGACAGATGGGTGCAGAGGGGTGGGCGGGAAAGGGGAAGAGAATGGGACAGCGGGGTGGAGACAGTGCAGGGAGCTAAAGAGGCAGAGACTGTCTGTCAGTACCCCAATGGCAAGGACGGAGCATATGGTTGAGTTTGAGAGTGGGGAAACAGCAGAGTGGGCGAGGAACATGCACATGAGTTTAAGAGGGGAAGAAACAGGGGAAGATGCGGGAGAGGTGTGGACAGTGGCTGAGTGACCACCAGGCAGCGGGAAATACTGAACCGAATTCCAGTTGTCCTCTGCTCAGGCGCAACAGGGAGCTGCAGCAGGCGCGGAAACCAAGACGAGGCACGGGTGCAGTGCAGCAATGCATGTGCGGGTAGGTGGGATCCTCCCAGCTCCCTCTTGAAACCACCCCCCTGACCCACGCCCCCCTTCACTCTTCTCCCCCGTCTCCTCCCCCCCTCCCAATCGCCTTCTTCCTGTGCTTCCACTTTCCCTTTTCTCTCCCCCAATGCGGCGCCCCTCTGACCTGCACGACGCCCCTGACTAGCCTGCACAGATTTACACGTGGGCGCTATAAGAACACGCGGCGGTGTACGTTTCTAGCCCTGCCTCCCCCTCTTTTCCGCCCTCCCTCATCCCGCGCGTGTGAGGCTCGCGCCCAGGAAATGCGGGTGCAGAGGGGCGGACAGGGAGGGCGGAACGGAGGGGGCAGCTGAGGAATAGGGTGCGGAAGCGGCTGACTGGGGGGTTAGTGGCGCACGCGGGTGGAGTGGGTGGCGGCGAGGTGGAAGGGCGCGGAGGGGCAGAAGTCGATGGTCGTCACGTTGCCGATCAGCGGCTCCGCCGCTTTCCGCCGGAAGCTGCGCCAAAACCCCGCTTCCGCCGTCTCCGCGGGCGCCGCCGGCGCATAGCGCTTGGGCGTGACTTTGAGAAAATCGCCCACCACCTGCTGGTCGCCCACGCCTCGCGGCCTATAGAATGGAGGTTTCGTAGGATTTTGCAGTTTTCGAGCGAGTCGCTGAACAACGAGAGAGCAGCGTAGTGGCGCGCGCAATGAGACGCGCGTGGAAGTGACGAGCGTGACCGAGGTACGACCAGGTGCGACGCGGAAGGAACGTCTTTTGCAAAAGACCAACCATTGTACCCATTACAGAGGGAGCTGAAAGCCGAATCGTGAAGTTAGACTGACGGGTCTATAATAATTTCGTGTGGTTGGGTTGGGAAGCTATGGTAGTCCTAAAATTACTCCTGACCATACCCTAATGAAAATAGTGAACAAACTCATATTTACGCTCTTATGCTCTCATCTTTCTATCAGAGAGTCCCTGCTGGTGTAATGAATATGTTACAATCCTGAAAAGGACTTAGCGAAGGATCGTCCCAGGGTTGATCGCGAGATGAGTTTGTCAAAGTATATGCATGTTATATATGTGTAGGCTGTAGTGGGGTAGCCAACATGGGGTACAGCCCCTTTTAGGGTTTCATACTTGTACCCAACTCTTTCATAGTTCATTCATTCCTGTCTCTAGATTCTGACATGGTTTCAGAGCAGTAGGTCCGTAGGACCGTTTTTTTTTTTCGGGCCCACCTACCGCTACCCCACGACTGTGACTGTGACTGTGCCTGTGACGTGCTGCGCTGCGCGCGCCGTCTGCCTGCTGCCTACTGTCTGCTGACTGCGCGGTCTGCTGCTGTTTAGAGCGCGCAGACCTAATTCCTGCGCGCGGCTTGATTTTTGCCCCACGCGTCGCCCACCCTGCCCGAGTCGCGCCTCGGCAGCCCGCGCGCGGCTCGCTGCAGCCCCGCGCGTTGCGACCGCTGCCTGCGCGTCGCGCTGCAGCCCCGCGCGCCGCGCCCGCTACCCGCGCGTCGCGCTGCAGCCCCGCGCGTCGCGACCACTGCCCACGCGTCGCGCTGCAGCCCCGCTCGCCGCGGCTGCCGCCCGCGCGTCGCGCTGCAGCCCCGCGCGCCGCGGCTGCCGTCCTCGCGCGCCCTGCTGTCGTCCTGCCTCTGACGCGGCCGCGCCTTACCCCTGACGCGGCCGCGCCCTACTTCTGACGCGGCCACACCCTGCCGCCGACGCGGCCCCGCCCGGACGCTGCCACGGCCCCGACCTGCCGCTGACACGGCCCCGCCCTGCAGCTGCCGCGGCCCCGACCTGCCCCTGACGCGGCCCCGCCCTGCAGCTGCCGCGGCCCTACTCTGCAGCCGCTGCTGCGGCCCCGCTGTTGCCGCCGTCGTGCGCCTACCCTGCCGCCGCCCGCCGAGCGCCGGCCCTGCCCGCCACTGGTGAGCACCTGCCTTGTTCGCGCGCTGCCGCGCCCTCTGCCTGCCTGCCTACCTGCCTGCCTGCCTGCCGCGCCTGCCGCGCCTGCCCTGCCCGCGCTGCTGCTGCTACTATTGCTACTATTGCTACTGGCGGTGGCCAGATGCAGCTCCAGCGACGTCCGCGCGAGTCTCTCACGCCTCAGCAGCTTCGTGAGTGGTACGCTAGTTGGGGTTGTGGCGGTAGCCGTCGTGGCTGTCGCCCTGGAGCTGGTCGGTCGGGTGAGTCTGGCAGTGGCCAGCTGCAGCTGCAGCGGAGTCCGCGCGAGAGACTTACGTCCCGGCAGCTTCATGAGTGGTACGCTCAGAGTCGAGGGTCTCGGAGTACCGTTCGCTGCCCGTACGTCCTTCGCACAGGTGCTCGGGCTGGTCAGGCTTGCGGGACACTTGGTCACACCCAGTCCCGCTGCTTCGCCCGATCTGAGCGACGCCTGGCGTACCGAGTTTGGCGACGAGGCTGAGCTCCTCACCTGGCTGGAGCTGCTTGGGCAGAGGGTAGATATCTTTGCTCTTGACTATGATGCTATTCTCACTGCCATGTATGCATTGCCTACTAGTGATGACCGTGCCTGTTCCCTGTGCGTACCGCCTGACCCATGTATAGAGCCTGCTGCCCTACGTGCTGGTGAGGCTGCTGCTCTAGGTGCTAGTGCGTCTCCTGCGCTAGGTGCTGGTGAGGCTGCTGCTCCAGGTACTGGTGAGTCTGCTCTCTCTGGTACTGCGCCTGCTGAGGCCTTGTACACCTTCACACTCGACTCAGGTGCTTCCCGCTCCTTCTTTCGCGATAGCACCACCCTCACGCCGCTTCGTCGGCCGGTTGCAGTCTCCCTGGCAGACCCCTCTGGGGGTCCAGTCCTTGCGCACTCCTCCACGGTCCTGCCGTGTCCGGCGGTCCCGTCTGGCTCCCTGTCAGGTCTTCACCTCCCCTCGTTCTCTACGAACTTGGTGAGTGGAGCTGACCTACAGGATGTGTGGGTTGACCAGTTCACCCCTGGAGGTCAGCGTGTGACCCACTGTACGTGCTCCCGGACTGGTCGGCATCTGGCCACGTTCACCCGAGAGCCTGGCTCGAGTCTGTACACACTGACCACTGTGTCCCCTCAGGTAGCTGCGTCTGCGTCTGCGTTTGCGTCAGGTCAGCTAGCGGCCCCCTGCTTGTGTCGCGATTTGTCGCACCAGACCGTCCTTTGGCACCACCGCCTTGGTCACCCCTCGGTGCAGCGCCTTCGTAGCATGCACCGCCGTTTCCTTGTCTCTGGACTTCCAGAGACTCTGCCTCCTCTACCACCCTCGCCTGCTCCTCCCTGTCTTCCCTGTGTCGTCGAGGGGCGGCAGCGGGCCGCTCCTCACTCCTCCTTGTTCCCTCCCACAGAGGCTCCCTTGCAGACTCTCCACCTGGACGTGTGGGGCCCAGCCCGCGTCCGTGGACAGGGCCACGAGCGGTACTTCCTGCTGGTCGTCGACGACTACACGCGTTACACCACGGTCTTCCCCTTGCGCAGCAAGGGGGAGGTCCCTGATGTTTTGATCCCCTGGATCCGCGCTGTTCGTCTCCAACTCCGCGAGCGGTTCCAGTCGGACTTTCCTGTCCTGCGTCTGCACTCTGACAGAGGTGGTGAGTTCTCCTCAGACCTCTTGGCAGCCTTCTGTGCGGAGCACGGCATCCGCCAGACGTTCACGCTTCCGGCCTCTCCGCAGCAGAATGGGGTTGCTGAGCGCCGCATTGGCTTAGTCATGGAGGTCGCTCGTACCTCCATGATCCATGCGGCTGCCCCCCATTTTCTGTGGCCGTTTGCGGTCCGGTACGCCACGCATCAGCTCAACCTCTGGCCCCGTGTCTCCTTGCCGGAAACCTCGCCCACACTGCTGTGGACGGGGAAGGTTGGCGATGCGTCGCGTTTCCGGGTCTGGGGTGCTCGTGCCTTTGTCCGCGATACCACCGCGGACAAGCTCTCCGCCCGCGCTGTTCCCTGTGTCTTCCTTGGCTTTGTCCCTGACGCGCCTGGTTGGCAGTTTTACCACCCCACC